ACAGCCGGGCAAACTGGAGAACTGAGGCAAAACACCTCACCCAAGAGCCTCCCGGCCACATAACTAAGCAGAGGAGATTTTTGCCATACGCACACATCCATGGGGACGGCTAATCGCGCCGATCTCTCGGGACACAGACACAGTGCAGCAGACAACACCACACAGGGCAGACAACAGGAACAGTAAACGTGTGGTGGACAAGTAAATATGTAGAATTGAGACCAAAGCAAACCCACGGTAGACCAAGCAAACATTGCATAGTGCAGACGTGTATTTAGGCCCCGCAGGTAGCTGTTGAGGATGCAGACTGCACTGGGGGGCTCGAACCCACAGCCCTCTAACTTTCTGGATATTCCAAACGGGGGGGGTACCATTCACGGAGAGACCCGGATGAGCCTCGCGATGAAGAGGAGACAAGCGCGTGCTGGCTGGCTGGCTGGCTGGCTGTCGGGGGAGGGAGGTGGTGGCTCACGAGCCGCGAGAATGAACTGGCGCTCGTGTTAATCTTTTAAAGAGACCAGCGCGAGTGGTCAAATAACTCATCCGGGGTTCGGAAGTGAGGGTTGGCAAACGAGCCCGGGGATCAGATTTCGTGCGATGATTCAATATTAAAAATGTAAAGTGATAATTCCCAAGGAGATAATTTTTCAGTTCCTTTCTAACCACTTCAGACTGTCGCTTTTCTTAATGTATAATGTATTCATTAAACACAGGAGGCTAAGGAATTGAATTCCTGAGGCGGAATACAGTTTGCTTCTTAATTTAGCTGAAGGGAAGAGAGTGAATAAGAGAGAGACGGCGCGAGAGAGAGCGTAGCTGGAAAATCAATTTCTATGGTTTCCATGCAGAAATACAGTGAGATATGGGCTTGAGGGTTCATAGATAACCTTGCAGTCTGGTGCTGTGCGGCATTATGTGATTTAGATGCAATGTTGAAACATACTGTGTATTGTTTCTGTGAATTCTTTCCTCACTGGTCATCTTTCAGGGTCTTTGTCTGCACATGAAGTATCAAAGCAGAAGAAAGGCACTTATCTGTGGATGGAGCTTTCGCTTTAATGAGTTTAGAATTACAGAAGTAATTCTGCCATTAAAGTTGAGATTCGGAGCCAATTTAAAAATATGCACCGGTAATGAGAACAGATTTTTTTACTGAAAAAAACTTTCAGAAACAGTTAATTTTAATGCTAACTGTAGGCAGGCACAGACTAGAGTTTTGGCAAACAAATATAAGAAATAAAAATCAATTGTTCTGAGAACAATACTGATTTCTCTAGTGCACGCTGTCAGAATTCATTCCTCCTACTGCATCACCTTTCAAAGTAATATTTGTATTTGAAAATGTACCCTTTTACTTTCTAAAAGGAGCATTTCTGCTGTACATCAGATGCACGTAATGTACACAGAAGGTACATTATTCTCCGTTCTTGTTGTCATAGAGGCCAGGGATGTTCAGGAGTTTCTTATGGTGTGCCATAGGATTGCATGCTATTTATAGGGTGTGGATGCTGTAAATGTAAACACTTTTTATATTGAAATCAAAACGCAGCTGAGAGTTAAATCTCTGAAAACTGCGGTATGGTCAGCTCTATCATAGTGACTGGAAGGCTTTCCTGTCCAAGGTCCTTTTGCAAGATAAATTGTCGATTGTGACCGACTTAATCTACTCGGGGGCAAAAGCTAGCTGCTCCTGTGGATCCACGTTTTCCACAATGTAGGTGGTGAACAGCAGGTACCACCCAAGACAAGAGAACATGGACACCAGGCTCTTCAGATGGCTGTCATCTCCTTCGTGCCTCGTTGACAGGGGTGGCAGAAGTTTCTGTTTTACCTGTCAAACAACATTAAACTCTGATGTAAATAGGTTTGCAAAATTTAAAGAATGGGTGACATCCTCAATTTCGTTGTTCAGACAAGACCTTCATCCGCCAGTTAACCCATGTAAGGAGAGCTTACTGAGGCTGTTTTAACTGTGGTGGAGGACTTCTCCTCAGCCCGTGACTGCTGGTGAGCAGTGTTACAGCCGGTAGTCCCAGTGAGCTGCCCGTGCTCAGTGCTCTGCTGCTCCTGCATCACTGAGAGTGTGAACAGGCCTGCAGTCCATTTCAGAAGTGTTGTGCTCAGTCCTGAGTAATTTGAAAATGAGAATGAGCAGCACAATAACCTGACATGCAGTATTGATGGCTTTTTACCGGATGATGATTCAGCAGACCCTGTTGGTTTAACTAATGTCATATTTCAAGGTCTTGTTTAATTTAACTGATGGGGGGGGGGCTTGCTGTCATGAATAATATGGAAACATGAGCCCTGTCTTTTCCATGAAAAGTGACATTAAGAAGTCACAAAGCCCTGCACTGTGCCTGCAGACATGAAAACGCGCTGCTGTAGTTTATTTCGGGTCTAAAAAGGCTGCAATGTTCATGTTTGGCCCTTAGAGCTGATGCATAAAGGGCTGTGTTGGAAGCAAGGCATGTGTGTTGCCTGTGTGGAACAGCGCAGGGACTCAGTGGGAGATGTGAATCCCCTTGTTGGTGCTTCCACCTTAATGGTGTCGGAATTATTCCTGGGAACATGCGTCTGAGGAGGAGGGAAGGAAACAGCGGCCTTTTACAGCTGGAGAGGTGCATTAATCCAGGCGGGGTGATTTATTTTTTTCTGGGGAGCTGGTGTTCTAATTACGATTCTGGATTGTGTAAAACAAGACAGAGGGTCCCCTTGGATCAGCATTGACAGCTTTGCAAGCAGTGCTTTTTTGGAATCTGCGCTGAGCGGACCGTCTCGAGTTCAGTACTTCTCACAATAAAGGCGCTAGAAATAAGTCCTTTTTGCTTGTGTTTTAAGGGAGCTGAGTGCTTTTTTTCCCTGAGCCTGTTTAGAACCAGATTCCTTGGTCTACGTTGGTGCGTTTCTGCAGTACGGACTCAAGCTGCTTTTACCAATCCTCTTCTGTCCTCAGTCATTGTCAGCAAGCACTAGGGTGACCCTTGTTTATTTAGGGTGTGACATATCGGGCCTTGTGAGTAGCATGCTCTTGCCCTTTTTATGAAATGTGCAGGAGCTTCCCCCTATCTGACCATGTCTCACTGCGCAGTTGTGTTACATCATGCATGTGAATTTTCCTCGCTTTACCTTGCATGGAAAATTCCCGTGCGTTGTAATATAACCATGAAAAATGAAGTCCTGGGCTTCATTTTCACCCTGAAATCACGGTGGCACCTATTTGAGGGAAAATACACCTGCCTTTTGCTAAACGTTTTGCTATTTATGCTAAACGTTGTCGTCATTTCTTCCACACAGAGATATCATGTGAGAGCGGCACAAAGACATCATAGGGGTGACAGGCACGTACTGTGTGCAGCACCACGTCTGGCTAAATGTGTTAGACAGGCGCCGATGACACTTCGAGAACTTGTTTTCAAGGCCTTTTTCCACAATAGATTTTATGCTTTTACGCTTGGTTGTTATCCGTTATGTGTGGATGTTGTGCCGAGCTGTGATTTCTTTTTTTTTAAATTATTTTTGGAAATGCAATATTTTTCTTAAGATGTAGATATAATGATCACATATTTTTTCACATTTTTTTTAATGGATTAATTGCTCACCATGCTGAAATTCCACTAGAGTGAACAGGCCTCTGCAGGTATTTTGAAAATCTTTGTGCAGTCACTAGCTCCCTGAAAGGAGGTGGTTAGTCCCCTACGGAGCTGTGCAAAGCTTCAATGATTACTTGTGAGATTTACTCAAATTTCATATTAGGAAGTAATAACATCCCATAATTGAACACAGTTTAGTAATTTCAGTCCTTGGAGACATGCAGAAGTCTAAATGCTAATGAAATAAGCAGACGTGGGTTGTGGGGGTGTGGAACAATCTACTCCGCCATGAAGTTGATGGTGATATCCTGGCCTCCTTCAAGAAACAGCTGGGTGAGGTCCTTGGATCCATTAGCTTCTCACTAGCTAACAGACTTGCCTGGGAGTGCAGATTCTGAACAGTAATGTAGGGCGTAGCTGAGCCTTAAAAAGTTGCTTTGTTTGTGTTTTGGGGTTAAGTCTCGCCATCATCTGCACAGGCCCCCTGTGTCCGTGTGTGCTGTGAACCCCGGCGGGCGGTACTGCACGCCTCTGTGATGTTTTCCTAGTGCTGCTGAAGAACGCAGGAGGGTGGCCTCATTGAAGACGCATCTAACTGCATAAGGCAGCAACAGTCACTGCACTTTCCTATTTCCTTCCAGTAAAACACCACAGTTTAATAATCACATTCTCAGTTTTAATTTGGCATTTTTCTTCTTTCATTTCATGCATGACGTTTGCAGCCAGTGGGCTATAGTCTGCTGGGTATTTCTTAGTGTTTGTTACTAAATCAGTGTTAAGATGGAAAGGAGAAGTGTTTGGAGATCCACGGGCAGCTGTTTGCTCAGGTAGTCAGATGCTTAAAGGTAACTGATGGCACCTTGCTGTTGCAGTGTCATTGCCATCGGCAGTGACTGTGCACATTCAAGATTCCTTCTGTAACGAGAGCTTTTATCTCTCTGATTGTGTGTATCAGCATGTGGCAAAGATGCAGATCTGACCCAGGGACTTGCTCTGTTTCGCAGCTGGGTTCTCATGAATTTAGCATTTTTAGTAGTTTCTGTTATGTGACCGTTTGTTCCTTTATCATGTGACTGTATTCAGAATGACCTGCATCTTAAGACTTTTGCGTTCAAGTCCAGTGTTCTCTAAGCTCATTCAGTTATACAGCAAAATCTAAAAGAAAGAAAAATTAGTACATTATGGTGGAGTCAGGCTTATGAGAACAGAACATTGCAATTTAAAATGTTGTGTAATTTACATGTTTAAATATTAAATATCTGTGGTGATGTGATTTGCGTCATAGCTCTGTTGGTTGTAGAATTTTGAACTTCCTGCAGCCTTATGCACGAATGTATTGTGCTTTGTCATGCAGAGCAGTGATGACCGTCCTTAAGTAAACACATTGTTTTTTACTTTGAATTTCAGGAAGACCTCAGCAAAAAACCACCAAAGAAAAAAACAGAGAAAGAAACCAAGTTCAAAGAAGCCAAAAAGGTCTTGAAGAGAAACTTCAGAATCAACACAAAGAAGACTTTTACTGAAGATGGAGAGGTTTGTCTTTGGAGCTTTTTCATGTCTTTATTACTGTTGGCTTCAATTTATAACTACAGGAATCTTTCAGGTATAAGTTCTGTTTGTTGCAGGTTGGGCTTAGGAACAATATTACCTATTACAATATACCGATATTACTAATATTACAATATTGGCTGCCACATATTGCATTCTAAAAAATCTTATTTTCAGCATTTTCTGGCACACAGAAGAAGCGTAGCTCAATAGGGGCCAGCAGAGCGCACACAGACTGACACCAAGTGTGTTACACTGTTCATTCTGAGGAAATCCTCTGTTGACTTTGTCAGGGTCTTTCAGGATTTTGAATACTAGTATCTGATCCACTTGTTGTGTTCTTTGTTCCAGTCTAAAAACATTGTGTTCCCTCAGCCTGTTAGTGTAGAACATTCTTTAAGCCCCAGAATGTGGTCACTCTTCTTTTGAGAGTTACATTCTGAGTCCAGAGCAGCTGTATCTAGTCTATAACTTGATGACAAAAATGATACACAATGTGCTAAATGAGGCCTTGCTAGTGCATTGTACAATTTGAATTTAGACTCCTTTGAAGTAAGTTTAATGGTTTTAACTGTATATCCTAACGTTTCATTTGCCTTTTTACTTTCTTCCCCACACTGTCTGGAAGGTCATGAGTCGACTTGACCACTTTTTCATAAGTAGCCATGTTTTAGTTAATACCTTGTTTTTAATATCTGCATGCAGAGGCCAAGCCAAGTCACTGTCTCGGACACTGCAAACCACCGGACCTGCTTGTGTGAGCTCTAGTCAGTCTGTTGTGCTGACTGGGACACAGGACACAAGGCAGCGCCGATGCTGCTGATGCATACTTCCTGAAATAGCGCAGCAGTGGTCAAGGGAAACATTACGTTCCTCCCTCTGGGAGAGGCATTGATCACCCCAGGTCTGGTTTGCTTATTGTGCTTTTCTTTATAAGAACACCAGCAGCTGCAAACTCCCCCCACCTCCCATTTGTCAGAGGGGCCTGAAGTGCTGCAGAGCTCCTGTATTAGTATGGCAGGAGGAACTGTTGCCTCACCCCTTTGCTGACGGTTCTTCACCTCTGTCCTGTGTGCAGGCAGAAGTGTTGGGGTTATAGCACAGAGTCTGAATACTCAGCATGATATCTGGCATGAAAGAGTCTGTTTCAGGGTATTCCCCACATGAATATTAATCCATACACGCCCCTCCCCCAGGGTATCTCCTGGATTGTCCAGATAAGACGCCACATCCAGTGATTTATTAACCCCCACCCCCAGTTTTGACTAGTGTCCGTCCTTAGGGATGCTGCTGGGGGAATATTGAGTTATGCTGCAAGCCGACTTGCAATAGGACAACAATAGGACTTGCAAGAGGACAACAATTCTGATCAATTCTGCTTCATTTTCATGATATCTTCGAAGGAACAGCTGCTCGACATGATGCGGAAGTTAATGTCCATTTTGAAGTCCTATTAAAGCCACACCCTTTTCTCATTTCTTTTAGAGCATTTCGTTTTTGTAATCAGGAAATAATTAGAGATTGATTGTTTGCTGTACAAGCAGAGCATAAAAAAGTCTGTGTGGCATTTGGCTTAAATGACCCCTGTCCCTTTCCTGTGGGGCTGCCTGTCAGCCTCAGACTTGTGTCTTGTCCTTTTTTTTTTCTTGAAACCCCAACCCTGTGGGTCAGGAAACGCAGAAGCAATCATGGAACAAATCAGGCCATGTTGACTTCTTCCAGAGATGCACAATTACATTGTAGTGTTTTATTTAAGAAAGAAAGAAAAAAGAGCAAGAAACATACATAGACAAGGGGGCAAGAACCTTCACGTCATCTAAATTACTTTATCAGTTCAGTGTCCCCAGCTCCCAACATAGTGATAAGAGGCTGAGTGTGCTGAGCTGAGGACCTTTCTCGGTCCACAATATCATGTAAATATCCAAACCAAACTCAAGAAAAACAAAGTAGCAGACTCTGTCCATCTCTGTCTTCTTTGCGGCAGTCATCCCTGGTAAGAATACTAGTTTGTATTTATTATTGCAGCTGAGATACATCAGATTATGACAGAACTTAATGGGGTTTGGGGAAAAATAGACCCTAATGCAGCCAACAGTATCCCCACATATTTCCAAGTTGCTTTTATTTTGGGGCATTTCCAATATGTCTTAATAAATATTAATTCACCTGGATAGGCAAAGCTGGCAAACAGGATATGTTGAAACTCTCTTAACTAGAATGTGCAGTCTTTCACTGAACTCTCCTGATCAGGTTGTGCAGTCTTTCGCCTGAA